CCTCCGCCTCCCGGGTTCAGGCAATTTTCCTGCCTCAGCCTCCTGAGTAGCTGGGATTACAGGCACGCGCCACCATGCCCAGCTAATTTTTTGTATTTTTAGTGGAGACGGTTTCACCATGTTGACCAGGATGGTCTCAATCTCTTGACCTCGTGATCCACCCGCCTCGGCCTCCCAAAGTGCTGGGATTACAGGCTTGAGCCACCGCGCCCGGCGCTATGTCTTATGTATTACTTTTTTTGAGACAGAGTCTTGCTCTTCGCCCAGGCTGGAGTACAGTGGGGCAATCTCAACTCACTGCAACCTCCGCCTCCCGGGTTCAAGTGATTCCCCTGCCTCAGCCTCCCAAACAGCTGGGACAATAGGCATGCACTACCACACCCAGCTAATTTTTTGTATTTTTAGTAGAAATGGGGCTTCACCATATTGGCCAGGCTGGTCTCGAACTCCTGACCTCATGGTCCACCCGACTTGGCCTCCCAAAGTGCTGGGATTACAAGCGTGAGCCACGGCACCTGATATTTTATTTTTCGAGATGGAGTCTCACGCTGTTGCCCAGGCTGGAGTGCAGTGGCGCAATCTCAGCTAACTGCAACCTGCACCTCCTGCATTCAAGTGATTCTTCTACCTCTGCCTCCTAGCAGCTGGAATTACAGGTGCCCACCACCACGCCCAGCTAATTTTTATATTTTTAGTAGCGAAGGGGTTTCCCCATGTTGGCCAGGCTGGTCTTGAACTCCTGACCTCAAGTGATCCGCCCACTTCAGCCTCCCAAAGTGCTAGGATTACAGGCATGAGCCACTTCGCCTGGCCCTTGATTGATCAATTTAGATGTACTAGAATACAGATTTTCTGCTCTTATCATCTTTCCCCTAAACTTCTGGGAAACTTTAGTCCTCTCACCCCACGCTGAAACAATTGCTCTCTAGAAACTGCCATCCGGGGACTTCCCTCCACTTGTCTCCTGAAGTACATCCAGTTTCCTATTGTAAGTCCTTCATTTTAGTGAAGTATGACTTCAGTTACTCGTAAACAGGCTGTGAGATGTCTTTTTCAGGAAAGTTTGTTCACGCCAATCTTTCCCAGTATTTCTAAGGAAGACTCCAGGTTATCTAGTCTTATCAACTACTAAATT